GATAAGTAAGAGGAAGACACGAGTCTATGTATTGGTATTACAAAAATGAGTTGGTATTAATGAAATAATATAAAATTATTCATAAGCGGAAAAACAAAAACGAAATTGATAAATATCAACCTGGTCCATGACTCCATGTTTCTACAAAATTATTTATAATTATTTTTCTTATCTCATTGTATTTTAGCCCCAACAATATTATAACCTATCACATGGTTTCAACATTATCAAAAACCTAATGTAAAAACATTTAAATATCAACGACAAAAAAAAAAAAACATTTAAATATCATCATCAATGCTCTTTTACATGTTGAAAAATCAAGAACCAAACTTTTCTTCTTCCTCTTTCTTAAAAAAACCAAACTTTGTATTTGATCAAATCCATTACATTGTTTCCATTTTTATTCAATCATGGCCGTTGATTCAAGTGATCATCGGCGAGATTTCATCGTTAAGATCAATGGTGAAGAAGAAAACAATGAGTCAAGAAGTAGCAACAATGGCGATGGAGGAAAGTTTTGGAGAGAATCAAGTTATAGTTTTTGGAACGGTGATAATAAAACCAGTAAAGCTGAAGAAGACGACGGAAGTTTTGAGTTTACGCGGCGGAGGAATGAGAAATCGACGACGGAGGAGTCACCTGATCCACCGTCGAAGCTCATAACTCAGTTTCTCAACAAACAAATAGCTTCCGGTGATGAAATCTCTCTAGACATGGAACCAAACATGCCAGAGCTTCAAAGCAATAACACGATTCCTCCGGTACCGGTACCGGCGGTTTCCGGTTCTGCTTCACCGGCGACAGCGATTAGACGGAGACAAAACAGAGTCACTCTGTCTCCGTCTGTTAAAGATAGTGATAGTAGTGATGAGGAAAAAGGAAACAGAGTAGATGAATCAGAAGTTGTGAAATGTAGCTCAAGCTGGAGGACTAAGACTTTGATGAGGACAAAGACAAGATCTAGATTGATGGATCCACCAACTCCGGCTTATCAGGAGATGGTTTCGGGCCGGACTCCGAAATCCGGGAATTTAAAATCCGGATTTACGGGGAAAAGCCCGAAATCGGGGACTCCGATTCAAGGAGGAGGTATGGATTTAGAAGAAGAGGACGATCCGTTTTCGGAAGAGGATTTACCGGAAGGTTACAAGAAGGAGAAACTATGCATTTGGGTTTTTATGGAATGGATTTTTCTGATTCTGATCATTGCTGGTTTGATTTGTAGCCTAGTGATACCTTTCTTGCGTAGCAAGAAACTATGGAACCTAGATTTGTGGAAATGGGAAGTGATGGTTCTTGTGTTGATTTGTGGTAGATTGGTTTCGAGTTGGATAGTGAAGATATTCGTCTACTTCGTCGAAAGCAATTTCCTTTTGAGGAAAAGAGTTCTGTATTTCGTATACGGGATTCGAAAGGCGGTACAGAATTGTCTATGGCTAGGGCTCGTGTTGATCGCGTGGCATTTCTTGTTCGACAAGAAAGTCGAAAGAGAGACTCGAAGTACAGTGCTTCAGTATGTGACTAAAGTTTTAGTCTGTTTACTTGTTGGTGTTATCATCTGGCTCATAAAAACCTTACTGGTTAAAGTTCTTGCTTCTTCTTTCCATATGAGTACTTACTTCGATCGAATTCAAGAATCGTTGTTTACTCAATACGTGATCGAGACACTCTCGGGACCCCCTCAGATTGAGATTCATATAGAAGAAGATAAAGTAGCAAACGATGTAAAGACCTTAGAGTTGGCTGGAGCTAAGCTATCTCCTCCTGGTCCAATGGCGGTTTCTCCTTCGCCAAAAGTAACCGTTGGAAGTGGAAGGTTACAAAAGAGTCCGACCAGAATCGGGAAAAGTCCGGTGCTTTCGCGGTCTGGTTCTAAGAAAGAAGGAGAAAACGATGGAATAAGGATCGATCATTTGCAGCGAATGAACACGAAAAATGTATCCGCTTGGAAAATGAAGAGACTGATGAATGTCATAAGAAAAGGAACTCTTTCTACTTTGGATGAACAGATACAAGACACAACGACTCAGGAAGATGATAAAGCTACACAGATAAGAAGCGAATTCGAAGCAAAACTCGCAGCGAGGAAGATTTTTCAGAATGTTGCTGAGCCTGGATCAAGGTATATATATACATAATGACCTTATGAACAGCTTTGATTTGATGTTTCTTAAGAACAAGATTTAAAAAACAGAGGAGTTTTTCGGGTTTTAGGTACATATATATCGAAGATTTTATGCGTTTTCTGTCTGAAGATGAGTCTGAAAGAGCAATGAGTCTCTTTGAAGGAGCTTCTGAGAGTCACAAAATCAGCAAATCTTGTTTGAAGAATTGGGTGGTAAGTGTTTGTTTTTATATTCAAATCTCGAAAAAGCTTTTTTCGTATACTAAATACTTGAAATCTTTCTCTAGGTTAATGCGTTTAGAGAACGAAGAGCACTAGCTTTAACTTTAAACGATACAAAAACAGCAGTGAACAGGCTTCATCGGATCGTCGATGTATTGGTCAGCATTGTGATCATAATCATCTGGCTACTCATCCTCGGAATCGCTACAACTAAGTTCTTGCTCGTCATTAGCTCTCAGCTTCTTCTTGTAGTGTTTGTGTTTGGAAATTCATGCAAAACCATCTTTGAAGCTGTCATTTTCGTCTTCGTTATGCATCCGTTTGATGTCGGTGACCGGTGTGAAATAGACGGTGTCCAGGTTTGTCCATTGAAACTCTCTGTTTTTTGCATTTACATAACTGAACAACACTTAAACAAAGAGCTAATCCTCTGTTTTTTTTTTGTATGTGTAGATGGTTGTGGAAGAGATGAACATTTTGACTACTGTCTTTCTTCGATTCGATAATCAAAAGATCGTATATCCGAACAGTCTTCTCGGGACAAAAGCTATCGCTAACTATTACCGTAGTCCCGATATGCAAGATACCATTGAGTTCTTTGTCCACATAGCAACTCCACATGAAAAGATAACCGCCTTGAAACAGAGGATACTCAGGTTAGAAGCTCTAAACCTTGAAAAAACATTGCCTAATATGAATCATATTCTAATGTTTTTTGTTTGTTGTGTTTTTGGTTTTATGTAGCTATGTAGATAACAAGAAGGATCATTGGCATCCATCGCCGATGATTGTGTTTAGAGATATGTGTGGATTGAACAGTGTGAAGATCGCGATGTGGCCAACGCATAAAATGAATCATCAAGATATGGGAGAGAGATTTGTGAGGAGAGGTCAATTACTTGAAGATATTGGTAAATCTTGCAGAGAATTGGATATCGAATATCGGTTATATCCTCTTAACATCAACATCAAAAGCATTCCTCCTACTCCTACTCCGATCACTTCTGATCGCGTTCCACCGAGCTGGAATCAAAACCGAAATGCTTAAAATTTGGAAGAAAATTGAGTGTTTGTATTTTTGTAGAAGAGAGTGAAAAAGATAGACTTTTTTCTTCTTCGGATTCTTCATTTTGCATTGTGAAGAACGGGATCTATTTTTGTGTACATCTCTGTGTTTGAGTGGTTATAATCATGAAATAAAAGCTTACCGCATTTGAATATTTGATTCTATAAGCTTTTTGTATCTAAGTGAAGATGAAAAATGAACAAGAAATAAACTTGATGATAAATGAGTGTTAAACTTGAAACGGCGTCGTTTAATACACACAGAGTGACGTCGTTTTAAGGATTATTTGTTTTACTCACACTCCTCGCGCTTAAGTCATTTTCTGCTGCTCATTTTTTTATTTTGGGAAATTTCAAAATCTTCGTTTCTCGCGCCGACATTGAAAATAGAGAGCGAGAAGGTAACGAATCCTTTGTAATTCGTGTGTTTTCTCTCGAATTTGGATCTGCTTCTTCTTCGATTCGTGATTCTTCGGTGGTTTTGATGGTGTTCTTCTTCAGATTCCGTCAAATCGGTTAGCTTAATCGCCGTTTATTGTTCTTCCTCGTTCTCTGCGACTCGTTCTCTTTCTGAAAATCGCAGGTAAGCTTCTTCGATTTCGCTCTTAGATTTTTCGAATGTATCCTGTGATTTCGTATGCTAGACCTTAGTTCTTTCCAATTTCTAAGGTTTGTGTCAATTTTTTCAAGTTACAGAGATCGGTAAGCATCTAAATGTTGCGTTGAGTTGTTCGCTTTGATGTAGAAACCCTAATTTCGGGCCCTGTGTAGTCGAATCGTTCGCATATTCTCAGAATCGGTCCCGTAATCTATACTTGGTGATGTTTTTGCCGATCTATTGAGTCTGGGCAGTTTTTTTTTGTTTTCCAGAATTTCTAGGGATTTCGTTTTGAAAATCGTTTTTCTAAACTCATGATTATCATAGTGATTGTATACTACTGAAGTTTAGCAGATGTTATTTGCTTAGTTTGTATTTCCAGCAACCTATGGTAACAATTTGTGTTATGCATTTTGACAAATTGCAGCAGTTAGAATGAATGTTGGTTAATCAAAAATTCAAAATCTGTGTGTTGGTAACTCTAATTTATTGGTGATTTCAACGAGTTAAGTTCTTCATCAACAGTTGTGTAAACACTTTATTTTGGAATCTGATTCGTCATGTAATCTAAAGATGGAACTCTAAATCATGATTCTTCATCTTGTTTGATTTGGATTTGATTGTGTAGTTGTGTAGTAGCTTGAGTTACTTATATTAGAGGTTGACATGAGGTGCAACGCCTGCTGGAGGGAATTGGAGGGTCGGGCCATATCCACCACATGCGGTCACTTATTATGTATCCGATTTACACTTCTACTTTTGCTATTTTCTGTGTTCTTTAGCCTTGTCTCGATTAAGATGACCTTAACACCATGAAAAGGCACTGAAGATGCAAGCAAGATTCTCAGTAATGATGGGGCATGTCCCATTTGTGATCAAGTACTCTCCAAGAGGTAAGAAGTCCCCTTAGCTACTTGCCTAGCTTCAGTTTAGTCCTACTTGCCTTATATTCGACTTGACAGTTTATATTTTCTATTTTAGTCTAATGAAACCTGTGGATACCAATCCAAATGAAGAATGGATAAATGTAAGTGATTGAGCTGGAGTATGCAATGTGGCTATAGCTTTTTTCTTTTCCAGTTTTCCAATATTCCCATCTTACATCTCCTCATTGCTTACCTTTGTTATCAGATGGCAATGGCTGGAATTTCTCCACAAATACGTATCCTTTTCACTGTTGGTAGAATTTGCCAGTTGCAATTATCTTCCTCAATTGAAAAATGTCCCTCTGTATATGATATCTAACTCAAGTACTATAGCTTTTTCCATCAACTGACTGTGTCTTTTGCATTTGTAAGAGTTGGTAAAACAACAGTGCAAGGCTCAACGATCCTCCTTCTGTTTTCCTTAATTGAATTCCAGTGATGAAGAGTGCATACCGAAGTGTAATGTTTTACATTGCTCAAAGGGACATAGAGATGCAGTACAAGATGAATAGAGTTGTCGCCCAGTGTCGTCAGAAATGTGAGGGTATGCAAGCAAAGTTTAACGAGAAAATGGAGCAGGTGCATACAGCATATCAGAAGATGGGCAAGAGGTGCCAGATGATGGAGCAAGAAGTTGAAAACTTAACCAAGGATAAACAAGAGCTCCAAGAGAAGTTCTCTGAGAAATCAAGGTTAGTAAGCTAACATACGTTTTTGTTTGCCTGGTTCTGTTCCTTATCTTAAACTCAATTGTTATAACAAGCTACATAAACTGTGTTTAAATACCAGACAGAAGAGGAAGCTTGATGAGATGTATGACCAGCTAAGGAGTGAGTATGAGTCAGTCAAACGTACAGCAATCCAGCCAGCAAACAACTTCTACCCGCGACACCACGAACCTGACTTTTTCTCAAACCAACCAGTTAACATGATGGAGAACAGAGAGCCCATCCGCAAAGGTTATTTATGTGCCTTGAGCTTATTAGTGCTTATTGTGATTCTAAGTCTAATGTTGATTAAATATCTCCAAATCAAGTTGACTTATTTGATGCAGACCGGTCGTTTTTCTCTCCTGCAACACCAGGACCTAAAGATGAGATATGGCCAGCAAGACAGAACAGTTCAAACTCGGGTCCATTTGACATCTCCAGCGACTCACCCGCGATTCCAACCGACCTTGGAAACAGAAGAGCAGGAGGAGGACATCCTGTATATGGTGGGGGTGGTGGCACTTCTAATCCCCAATCAACTCTACGAAATCTTATTCTCTCCCCTATTAAACGCTCTCAGCTCTCTCGCTCCCGCCCTCAACTATTCACGTAAGCAAACCGTAACCATAAAAATAGATCAAATTCATAACAAATACATAAGTTTGTCTTAAAAAATCAATTTTGTTGCTTCTTTTCTCAGGCTATAGCTTAAAGATCAAGTGAGAGCGTTGGGACCTGGCTTGGTGGAAGCCTAATGGTCACAAAAAGTAAGTGACTCTTCATTTTTATTAGCTTTCTGTCTTAGTAAGTAAATTCTGAGGGAAAAATRTAGGATTTGAGAAAAAGAAACACTCTCGTCTGTATAAATAATACTGATAAATCATATTTTAGTAGAATCAATATAGTGAAACTACCTACAAGGATCGTAAGACGATGAGTAAATATAAAAAGACATTTTTTTTTGTTTTTGAATGAGAAGGC